AGAAAGAGTAAAATACTATGTTTTCTTTCAAAGTATATGTAATTTCCAAATCATGTCACAAAAGTTTTAAGATAAGATTATAATTATATTTATAACTTTTTGATGTTAAACAATATTCTCATGAAATATGAGGAATAACAAAAATAATTGTTTGTTAATAATTTATTTTTAGGTATTATGTCACTTATTAAAAAATTTAATTTAAATTTTGTTTACAGCAATAATATAGTTTTTATAAATATTATCAAATATTATTAGATTTGTATAGTCCCTTAGCAAATATTTATTATAAAATCATAATAATTATTATTTAATATTATCACATGTAATTGTATATTGTTATATACAATTTGATCATTGTTCTAATTATTTTTGTTGTTATAATATTCATTACAATGTTATAATCACAATAATAATATTGTGAATGATCTTTCTATATGCTATAATTTTCAAATATTATAACTATTATTTACTGTTATCACATGTAATTGTATATTGTTATATACAATTTGATCATTGTTCTAATTATTTTTGTTGTTATAATATTCATTGCATTGTTATAATTACAATAATAATATTGTTAATGATCTTTATGTATGCTATAATTTTCAAATATTATAATGGCTATCTAGAAAAATTACCATAATCAAAACCATTGAACATAATAAATTTAATATTAGTATTAATAATTAATATTACATTGAGGGGAGAGAGCGAATACAATGAGAGAGTGAGAGGGTGTGCATGTTTATTTTTATGTAGAGAGGTAAAGATTTGAAAGACTCTATTGAGCGGGGAGAATTCGTAGAGAAAGAGAGAGAGTGTGTGTGTATGGGGAGAGAAAGAGTAAATGTTCTTCTAATTTAATAGAGTAAAGATAAGAAATAATACGTGGAGAGGGGAGAGAGAGTAAATATGATAAAAAATATGAGAGTAATAAATAGGAGAGCATGAAGGTTAAAACTGAAATAATAAAAAGCATGAGACCATGAAGGTTAAAACTGAAATAATGAAATGCTTAGAGAATAAAAATAGAAGATAAAAAGACACTTGGCGCGATCTCTTCTTCTTATTCCCTCTCTCTTCGATCTTCTTTCAGGCATCGCTTAACAAGAGCTCGATTATGAAATTTGAAGCAAAAATCTTTTGTAATACCTCTAAAATTAATTTATGATGTCGACTATGAAATTTGAAACTCAAAAAATGGTAAGATCTGTGAATATTTATTTTTTTTAAAAA